AGTGCATAGCTTAAAAATTATAAGAGCAATGTAAAAAGAATTCAAATGACCAAGAGTTTATGCACTAAATAATAGTTAACTTCTAAAATAAACACATAAACACTAGTTCAGGTGGTGGTGGCGGCGGCAGTGCACACCTTTAATCCCAGCACTCAAAGGCAGAAGCACCATCTCTGAGTTCAAGGCTAGCCTAGTCTACTGATCAAGTTCCAGGGCAACCAAAGGTACACAGAGAAACCTGGTCTGGAGATGAGGGGAAAGACACTAGCAACCATCGTGTGAACACCAATGGGGACCTAAGCACTAGCTTTAGCAGAAGCAAAATTCGTTTGAAAACTGGTTTACCAACGACTTGCTTCCTTTACATTCATTCCTTCAACGTTCTTTATTTGAACTGGGTAAGACCTTGAGAAACAAAGACGATGCCACTTTGGGTTATGGTGGAACAGCCCAGAGGTCATAAAAGCATTTGCACTATTGATAAGGGACCGCTTATTCACTAAAATAACTCAACAACGTGCTGAGAAATGGGATCCACATCCGAATTATCAGAAGCAAAGTAATGCTCCTAAGAAGCAATTTAGAGGACCGATCCCGCCCACCGGCTTCCCACTCCCAGGGACTTAAACACTCTGCGGCCATCCGCGTCCCTGGAGCAAGTCAGCTCCTAACACCTCTGCTGGGCGGACCCCATCGCGCGAGCACAGCTCGCTGGAGCTCGGCGGGGTCCGTCTCCGAGGACCGAACGTGTTAAAGTGAGAGTCTAAGCAAGGCTGCTAGGGCTCGGAGTCCTGAGGGACCCAGGGAGCTGCACATCCCCGGGGTCCCCTCAGGGAGCCGCGCCAGCATTCGGTGAACTCGGGCCCCGTGGTTCTCGGCGTCTGACTGGGTCGCCTCCCTAACGCGGAGCGCCCTCCGCCGCGCCAGGGCCAGGTGCCCGGTCGGGGTCCGGCCGAGGGACAAGGGCGGGCTGGCGGGCGCCCCACAGCCGGAAAGGGCTTGCCTCGCAAACAGGACGGCCTCCGGCCCGGCTCACCTTCAGGTCGTTCTCGGGAAGGTACTTGCACTGCCGCGCTATCTCCACATACTTGTCCAGATCTAACGGCGCCATTTTAGGAAGAACAAGCCGCGGCAGCGGCGACGGCGGCAGAGACAGCAGACGTAGTACCGGAGGCAGCGGCGAGGCAGAAGCCGGAACCCTCCTTACGTCACGTCCGACCCGTGAGTGGCGTCTGCGAAGCGACGTCAAATCCTGACTTCCGCGCCTCCGCACGCCCGGCGCCCTCTCAGGCCGAACTTCTGGGATCCTGATAACGAAACCTGCTGGGACCCGTAGCTGTCTGCCGCGGAGCGTGCTGGGATTTGTAGTTTTTATAGACTGCTCTTCTTTTCCTACTCTTCACCTAAGGTAAACCAAATGAGGCTTTTGTGCGGGAAGACTACACTGCAAGTAGGTATTCCCTGGCTCTCATTCCTACCCTGTAAAGCACACTGTCAGCATCTTCACTTAAAGTTAGGGTAACTGTTGCCGACTCTCCAGGGCTAGTGAAGACCCGGCCTAGATGTGTGGAACAGATTTAACACCCCCAGCTCTCTGGCTTGGAAGAAAAGAAACAAATACTAAAGCATTTCTTATGCTAAATTCTATACAAATACTGGCGCGTTGTTATTGCTCTTCTTGTAAAACTGATAGGTGAACAAAACTTGCACGTGTTACTTGCCCCAAATACCAAAGGAAACAAAAAAGGTGGAGCCTAGACTGAAAAACAGGCTACTGACTTGATTATACGTGTGAGTCCCAGAAGACGGCAGGAACGGTTTTTGTTTTTGTTGTTGTTTTTACTTTCTTTGATTTTTGTCGTATCCCAGTGTTAAGAACAGTTCTTGACACCTAATACAGCTTTAACATGTTTATTTGACAACTGTATATTGAGCAGCAACTAAATAAAAACACTTGCAGGTGGTTAGTGACCACAGTAGACGAAAATCTCTATCCTTGCAGCTGGAAAGATTGCTCAGTGATTAAGAGCACTAGCTGCTCTTCCAGACAGAATCCAAGTTTTATTACCAGTACCTACATGGCTGCTCACAAATCCTGTAAACCCAGTTCCAGGGAATCAGACGCCCTCTCCTGGCTTCTACGGGCACTATATGGATATAATGCACAAGCACACTTGAAGACAAAGTAAAATAATTTTTAAAATTAAGAATGTAAAAAAAAAAAAAAAACTGTTTCAACAACAAGTAAATTTTGTAATTTACTTCTGCTAAAGAGAAACAATAAATACAATAATTTACTTATAGCATGTTAGAAAGTGGTAGTTGCTAATGAAAACATCCCAGCACTGTAAGGAGGATAGGTTGACACAGTATTAAGTATTAACCAATTAGCCAGTGACAGTGAACCACACATTTGACCCCAGTACTGGAAAGCCAAGTGGATAACTGTGAGTTCTAGGATAGCTCAGTCTAAGTAGCAAGTTGCCAGTCAACCAGGAGACCCTGTTCTAAATAAATAAACAAACCTATAAAGATAGGAAGTTCTCCAGAAGATTGCTAATGAAGCATTCCTAAGCATATCAAGAGCCTCTGAGGAAGGGCCCTCCCATAGTGGCTGGAGAGCAGAGGAAAAAAGGAAACACGTTTATTTTTCATTGATGCAGTGGACTATTGTAGGATTTTAAGTAGAGATGCAAAATAATTAAACTTACTTGGATTTTCTTTTGTTTTGGTTGGTTGGTTTTGTTTGAGCTGTCTCTTTAGCCCCATGGCTACCATTTTAAAAGCAGAACTCAAACATTCCTCAAAGAATTCAGAAATGTGGTTTCTATTTTTAAAGGATTAGTTCCTACAATGTAAACTGTCTGATATTCCAGTTTTCCTTGTTAATATACCCCTCTAGCATGGCATCTTGAGGTAATCCTAGTCAAAAGTCACAGGCCCCATCAAAGCATTCCGGAGCTCCGACAGTAATTGCTATCTAAATACATGCTGAGCACATGGCCAGAGCCAACCTGGCCTTGGTCCAGTTTCCAGAAGGAAAGCAGAGTGTATACCTCTAAACTCTTCTTCAGCAGTCTCTGGGGAACTTTCTATTCGCTACAGGAAGTCATGAAGAGTCCAGGTGTTAGAAACATATGACAAGGAAATGAAGAGAGCTGTAGCCCCCAATTTCTACTTTGTCCATGAATTTTGGTTCGATTTCCAATAGCTAAAAGAGTTAATTAAGTTGGATCTCTGGCATTGTGGCCCTTACCTGTAAATCTTAGCGCTTGTGAGGTGAGACCTTGTCTCAAAATGAAAACCCTTTCAATAGCATTAGTAGGTTCTCTTAACAGCTGTCTGCTGGTGTTGCTATCCTCATTCTATATGTAAACTGGAGTTCAGAGAGGAGAACAAACTTGGCAGATGTCAGAGTTCCCTGTTAGGTGCTTGAGCTTGTGTCTAAAGCCAAGTTTGCCTGCTCTCTCCCAGTAAGTACAGTAGTGATGGGGGATGTCCTTCTGAATGCTGTGAATATATATTTCTCTTATTAGTTGGTGAATAAATGCTGATTGTCCACTAGTCAGGCAGGAAGTATAGGTGGAGTTACCGGACTAGAAGGTTGGGAAGAGGAAGGCAGTGAGACCAGGGGAGATGCAATGTAGCCACTGAAGGAGTAACATGCCAGAGCATTAGGGGTAAGACACAGCTTCATGGCAATACATACTATAACAGAAATGGGTTAACAATTAAGAGAGAGCTAGCCAATAGAAGCTCCAGCCATTGGCCAAACAGTTTATTATTAATATAAGCTTCTGTGTATTTTTTTTTTTTTTTTAGAACTAAATGGCTGCAGGATCAGGCTGGGACAGGAACTCCATCATCACAGTAGCTCTGCTCTTTCTAGGCTGTTTTGAGTTCTGATGATAGTGAGCATAAGAGTGTGGTACTCTGATCACACATAGGCACAGGTGAGTCACCTTTGTTTTAGGAACAACATGGAGCACTTATAACTAGGACATAGATCAGAGATTATGTAGGTGACGATGCTGACAGAGGTTAGTTCATTTATAAATAGAAATAAGCTTGGCCTTTACAGAGGACTAGCTCTGGGCCTCGATAGATAACTGACCACAAACCCTATAGAAATCTTAGGACTTCTCTGATGCAGAGGGAAAATACCCAAAGTATTAATAACTTTCTCCAAGATCATACAGATCAGTGAACTTTTTTTGTTGTTATTGTTGTTGCTGTTATTTTTTTTTTTTTTCAAGACAATTTCTCTGTCGCTTTGGAGGATCTCTTGGAACTCGCTTTGTAAACCAGGCTGGTCTCAAACTTACAGAAATCATCCTGTCTCTGCCTCCCGAGTGCTGGGATCAAAGGTGTGCACCACCACCGCCTGGCCTCAGTGAACTTTTTATTCCTCACCCATTACAATAGGACCTAGTTGTCCTTTGTGCTTAATCACTTGGTTCAGCCTGTGAGCTCCAGAAGGCCAAAGATCTGTGGTCTAGAACAATTAAGGAAATGAACCGCTTTAAGCGCCACAGTTTGAAACGGCCTCAAACCTGCACAGGCAAAGCCTGGCATAATGGAACACGCACATAACCTCATTCAGGAGGCAGCAGCAGAATTCAAGGTGGGCCTAGCTTACATAATGAGTCCCAGGCCATACCTCCCCTTCAGACGTCTCTAATGCTGTAACGACTGCTGTAACAAACCCCATTCGTCCTTTAAGAGCTGAATAAGGAATTGGTGCCATCGAAAGGTGTGCCAACCAGTATGCAAAGTTTGGAGTGGCCGCCTACTGCAGGAGACCAGGGAGGCGCAGAGCGGTTGCCTTGGACACGCTTCCGGGGCCTGGGGGGGCGGGCTCCTAAGCCCCACCCTGAGGGTGGAGCTACGTCCTGGACAAGCCAAAGCTGCGGCAGGTAATTGGTGCTGGGCTGGAGGTCTCTGGGCGGGGTCACCTGGAGGAGAGTGGATCCCTTTCCTTAACAAAGTGAGTTTGAGCTGGGTGGAGGGGACGGTGTCCCTGCTCTCTGGTCAGCCACATTAGCGGGAAGCAGGCAGCCATTTCTCCCTGACCCTGACTTCTTTCACGCGGAGATGTGGCCGGGAGAGAGGATGTAAGGAGGTAGCTAGGAGAGTCCCCGCTCATGCGAAGCCGGCACCTCTCAGCTCTGACCTTGTGGTCAGTAGCCTAGGCCGCAGGTGGCCCTCACCGGTGCATCTCTTCTTTAATTCCTTTTCTCCGTTCATTTGTCCCTACTTCTACTCTCTGCGGGCCCATTGGTAAGTTATCAGAATGAAACTGAAGGCCGGACATGCTAAGATTTTAGAATCTAATCTTAGTTACTTTTACTATTATTTTGAGACAATGTAGCCCAGGCTGTCCTCTCTATCAGTCTATAGCCTAAAGCCTCCGAAGTGCCAGGTAGGGCACTACCGTGCCTGACTGACTACAGACTTTTAAATAGATAATTACATTCAAGGGTCTGAGGGTGTAGTTCAAGGGGCAGAGTGCCTGCCTATCCAGAACACAACCCTGGATCTGATCCCTAGAACAGCATAAAACCAGGCATGGTGGTATTGCTTTGTAATCAGTGTTTGGGAATTGGAGGCAAGAGGATCTGAATGAAGTTCAAGGTCATTTTTGGCTACATAATGATTCAAGGCCAACATAGACTACATAAGACCTTGTCTCTAAATAAGTAAATTTGAAAAAAAAAAAAAAAAAAGGAAATTACATTTAGAATGATTCCTGTAATAATGATGGCTAAATAGATACTATCATATAGGAAATCCAAGCCAAATCCTTTTAATTAAGTCTCCCTGAGGGTGTGTGTGTGTGTTGCTAATCCCTGAGACAGGAGCAGTAATTTGAGAGACTGGAAAGAGAAAGTTTCTTTAAGGAATCATTGAAATGGGCTTTATTTTCTCTCTGTCTTTCTCTTTACCCCACCCCTCTCTCTGGTTTTTTGTTTGTTTGTTTTGTTTTGTTTGTTTTTCCAGACAGGGTTTCTCTATAGCTTTGCAGGCTGTCCTGGAACTCCATCAATAGACCAGGCTAACCTGGAACTCACAGAGATCCACCTGCTTCTGCCTCCCAGGTACTGAGATTAAAGGTGTGTGCCGTGGCCACTGCTGCTGCCACCACCAGCTTTCTTAATCCAATTTTTAAATTAGCCTGCAAAACAATGAGTGTCGGAGAGCTGGAGAGATGGCTACTGTTCCAGAGGGCCCAGGCTAAATTCCCAGCATCCACATGGCAGCTCACAACTGTCTGTAGCTCCTGTTCTAGAGGACCCAACACCCTCATACAGACATACACAGGAAAATGCCAACATACATTAAAATAATAATAATAATTAAAAAACCCAATGTGTTTCATTATGGCATTTTGTATGTATGTGTTGTACATTGTTCTGATTTTTATTCCCTGCCTTATTGCCCTTTCCGTGCCTGTTTTGTCTTTAATAAATACCTCTCACATTTTGATATATGCCCCTCCCTCATGGGTCTCAAGGACAGATGGAAAGCAGCTGAAAACCTTGAGTAGTTGTATTGTATGAAGGGCTGGGGATTGTAGCTCAAGTTAGACACGTAGGATGCATAAGGCCCTGGAGCTGAACCCTGTCACTGGGCTGGTGGGGGGAGAAAAGAAAAATGCTGGATATATACTATAGTGACTACAGTTCCAGTACCGAGGAGACTTTCACAGGAGGATTGTCCAGAGTTAAAGTCAGCCTTGGCTACTAAAGATCTTGCTTATTTCAAAACAAAAAAGATTATCCCATACATGTGGTAATTTTCATTCACATTTACCAGAAATTAGAACATTGGACCTCAAAGATACGATGGATTTATTGTTCCTTCCCAGTTTTGGGGATCCAGCCTGGGGCCTTGTTCATTCTAGGCAAGTGCTTGACCACTGAGCTCCTCCACAATGGTGTAAGAAAGGTTTATGAGGGGCACAACTAGATTTGTTGTGTTGTAGAAAGAACCCTGAACACTGCCTTCCTCTCTTCTGCATAGGGTGTCATGAAGGAACTGCCAGTCTTGGACCCTGGAGAGAAGCCCAGGAAAGCTACATGGTCTGTAAGGAATGGTTCAGACACAAGAACTCAAGTTTTTGTTTCATATACATGTAGTTTACTAACATATTTGAACATCACCGCAAAGCAGTAGCAATGAAACTGTGGTAATAAGACTCAAACTGTCTGGGAAGGTCTTCAGAGGAAAGATGGGAGTAATAATTATCACAGAGCAGCTGTTAATTTTATTAAAATATGTTTGCCAAGAGGAATAAAACCTGGCCATCTGACATCCTCAGCTCCAACTCTTAGCTCTTCCCCTGAGCTGTGTGACTCATTCTTAAGGTTTCAAGTAATTGAATTTGAGTTATACTGGCTTTAGTGTTCATTGGCTGTCTGTCTGTTAAACCCTTCATTCGAGAACTCACACTGGCTAACATCGATGGCTGCTGTGTAGGCTCCAGAAGTCCAAAGGCAAATAGTCCCTCTGTAGTGAAGTTAGAGACAGAGCAGATGATGGAGTTTGGCCTGCACTGAGGGGCTCTCAGAAGGTTGCAGAGAGGTGCAGTGTTCTCACAGGGCTCTAGGTGAGCCTCCATGCCTACTTCCACACGACCTGCCTTGCTTCAGAGCCATCACACATGTGTTGGAGGTGTGCTCTAGGGTAAAGTCTTCTAGAGAACTGGGAATGTAGCTTGGTTGTAGAGCTCTACCTACATGTATAATATCCCTAGTTTGATTCCCAGCTCTGAACAACAAGATAAACAAAAGCCTGCATTATCAATCTATTTCTGCCTGTGTCCAACCTCAAATATCTTTACTTATTTTGCTGTTTTGTTTGCTGTTGAGGCAGAGTCTCATGTAACTCAGGTCAGCTCCTAACTTTCAGCAACTCTCCTTTCTCAGCATCCCAAGTGCAAGGATTACAGGCATGGCCACCAAGATTGGCCTTGCTTTGTTCTGAGACAGGCTGTCTAGTATTCAGGTAGTAGGGTCACTTGGAGTTCAAGGCTAGACTGGGAAATGGAGTAAGATACTATCTAGAAAAAAAAAGATAGAAATAATTTTTTTTTATGTTAAAACTTTTCTTTGACTGTGAAAACAATGAAAGGGATACTCATGAAGCTTTCAAACAGCCCTTTTACCCGCTGGTCCTTAAGGACTATGAAGGCAAGGAATGCTTCTTTCTAGATATTTATCTATTCTTGAATACAATGCTCAAACTCTTAACTTTTTTACACCCCTTTTCCTCAGTTGTTAAACTCAAACTGCAGTAATAGTACTGATGGTTAGTGGGCATCCATAAATGCTGCTTTGTGAGCAGTGTGTATGGGACATTGTTAGCAATCCTTCAGGTGAAGGAATACACAAATCCAAATGTCAGAACAGATCTGAACAAGGAGGAAAGATCCCGAAATCACTGATAATGACAGAGCTGGGTGTTCATAGAAACCACCAGGGCAGATAAAATGAATCTGAAAAGCAAACACAGAGTGAAGGAAAGGGAAGCTAGGGTGCTGAGAATTCCAAGGGGCTGGTGGAGAGATGCCAGAGAAAAGGGAACTGCTGCCTGAAGGTGAGTACACACCCAGAGGGAGGGTGCAGGAAGTGGGAGGGGTCAGAGAGCTCGAATAAGACAGGGCCCAGAGACTAGCTGGGAACTGTTGTTATTCACTGTGTCCCAGATTTGGGAGGTGGGGGCAGGAGCATCTGGAATTTAAGGTCATCCTGGACTGTCTGGAGTCCCATGGCCATCTTAGACTGCCTGAGACCCTGTCTTAAACTAAAATTTAGTTGGTTTGTTTCCAACCAGCAAGCTTGAAATGCATTTTTCATTTTCTGTTAAAAATCAAAATAAATGTAGTGGGGAATGCCTGACCCTATATTTCAGCTTGTGAATCCTAGGTTCAAGTTCCATTTGGTTGAGGTTTCCAAGCCTGAAAAGGCTCTTAATAGATTTTATATAATTCTTATGGGCTTAATCCATGAGTTCTTGAGAATTTTCTTCACAGGGAGACATCACTGACTGTTAGCCATGGCCTTGGCATCCTTGGTGTCCCTATGGGTATGATAATGCTGTAGCTATTGTTTACTGAGTCTCTTCCTGCATCCTTGCAAACTCTGAGTCTTCACAGCCTCCTTTGGAGGTTAAAAACTATCACAGTCCTTGGGGTTTTGTTTTTTCTTTGTTTGCTTTTTGGAGACAGTTTCTCTTTGTAACAGCCCTGGCTGTCCTGGAACTCACTCTGAAGACCAAACTGACCTGGAACTCAGAGATCTACCTGCCTCTGACTCTAGAGTGCTGGGATTAAAGGCGTGTGCCACCACTGCCTGGTAACAATCCCTTGTTTTATAACAGAAAACTAAGATCCAGAGAGGTTAAGTGCCCCTCCCCCGCCAAATGCCACACATCTGGAAAGCACTGAAGCAATACTTAAACCAGGTCTGTCTGAATCCACAGGCCACAGTAATACCATTCTGGCCAGTGGACATCTCACTTGTCACAGTCTCCCTGTCTACCACAGAGCCCCATAGGAGTCAAAGACCTGCAAAAATTCAAAATTGAAAAGCCAGAGGCAGCCGAGTGAAGGGAAGGTACAGTAGTTGGTCAGGAAATGACACTTTTCTGGATACAACTGAGATACCAGTGTGGAGCCAGTGAGGTGGCTCAGCAGGTGAGGGCGTTTTCCCAGTAAACCTGGTGACTTAGCTTCAATCTTGGGAACCCCATAAAGGTAGGAGAAAACCATTTCTGTGGAGTTTTTGTCTGACCTCAACACCTGCACTGTGGCACTTACACACACATCATGCGCATGCTCACATACAACATTAGTAATTAAAATTTAAATGTCTACCAGACATTTTATCCTGGTGACTATTTTGTGAGGAATGGAAGAATATTCTCTCTCACATAGGCTTTCTGAGTGTATTTTCCCTTTTGCAGGTACACTTTGACTCGCCCTGGAGACAAACCCTGCCCTCGAGTCGGCCACAGCTGCTCATATTTACCCCCAGTTGGTGATGCCAAGAAAGGGAAGGTCTTCATTGTAGGGGGAGCAAATCCAAACCAAAGCTTCTCAGATGTACACATCATGGATTTGGGTAAGATCAACATTGCAGAGTGTTCCTAAAAATACTGGCTCTGCTGGGAATGGTAGTACACATTTTCAAACCAGAACCAGAGAGACAGAGGCAAGACAATTCCTGGGAGTTCAAAGCCAGCTTGGTCTATATACAAGTGCCAGACCAGAAAAACATAGACCCGACTCAAAACAATAATAATAATGGTAGTAATAATGCCAACTCACATCAGACAACAGGGTTTTCCTCTTAGAGAGAGGAATATCTTTTCTGACCCCTAAGGTCTCTCTCAACTGACCTCTAGCACATACCTACCTGTTCAGTACATCACTGTTGGGGAAGAGTCTGTATTGAGCCCTGACAATCTAGAAATTGGTTATCAACTGTTCCAGGAGGCATCAATGACCCATTTCTCCTTCTGTCTCCAGTCCACATTCTAATTAATCATCAAACCCTGACTCTGCCTTCCTCAGTCATTGTCCCTTTGCAGCTAGTGAATCCTTTTCATTCAAGTTTCCTTGCCCCCTTGGTGGCTTGCTACACAGTGCATATTCCATACCAACCCAGAAAGTGATGCACTCTGGTTTGGGGGAGTGTTATTTTGTTTTGAAGAAATCTCATGTAGCTCAGGCTAGCATGAACTCACTGTGTAGGAGGGTGACCTTGAACGTGTGATTCTCTTGCCTTCACTGGTCTGTGTGAAGCTGTTGCTCAAACTCTGGTTTTCAGTTTTCATGCATGCTCTCCTGTTTCCCCCTTCCCATATCTGAGCACATATGATTATGTGTACTTCTCACAAGAGTTTAAGGTCTTCAGAAACACAGTGAGGCTGTTTTTCTCATCATTGTATCCCTAGCCACTGCCACAGCATGTGGCCAGAGCAAGCACTTTGTATTCTGATGGATAAATGAATGAATGAAGCTGTGAACAAATTACTATGTGCTATACTGCTATACAAAAGGCAGTTGAACTGATGACCCACATTCATGTTTGACTGTGGTCATGTAACATTTCTGGGGTGTCTGGGGTGGGGTGGGGTGGTGTTTTTTTTTTTTTTTTTTTTTAGGCAGGGTTTCTCTGTGTAGCCCTGGCTATCCTAGCTATGTAGACCAGGCTGGTTTTGAACTCACAGAGATGTACCTACCTCTGCCTCCAAAGTGTTAGGACCTGGGATTAAAGGTATATGTTACCACACTTAGTCTAAGTTTTAATATTTTTATTATATTTATTATTTTAAACATGTGCCTAGCGCACACACATAGAGATTAAAGAACAACTTTGTCAAATTTGTAAAGATTTGTTTTATTATTACTATTAATTATTATTTCATTAGTTTAGTTTTTCAAGACAGGGTTTCCTTGTATAGCCTTGAGTGTCTTGGAATTACCTCTGTAGACCAGGCTAACTTTGAACTCACAGAGATCTGCCTGCCTCTGTCTCCACAGAGTGCTGGGATCAAAGGTGTGCGCCACCACCACCCAGCTGTTTTATTTATTGTTTATTTATTTTTTCAAATAGAGATGATTGGATTAAGGAATTATTTTAAGAAATTACCTACCTGTATGTATGTGCACCACAGAAGAAGTTAGAACTGGAGCTACAGAGAGTTGTGAGCTACCATGGTGCTAGGAACTGAAACTGGGCATGCTGCAGTAATTACTCTTTCATTATTCTCCTACTTTTAATATGTGTGTGTGGAGGGGGAGTGTGCGTGGGGATATATGCGTGTGAGTACCAATGCCCACAGAAGCCAGAAACATTGCATAGATGCTGGGAATTGAGCTTGGGTCCTCTGCAAGATCAGCAAGAGCCCTTAACAACTGAGCCCACTCTCCAGCCCCAACTATGTCAGTTTTTATATGTGCACTTGATTTGTGAATGATTCAAGATTGAAATAACAGAAATGGGGCCAAAGAGATGGATTAATAGGTAGAGGTACCTGCTGCCCAGCCTCATCTGAGTTTGTTCCCTGAAAGCCACTTGATGTAAGGAAGAAACTTAACTCTCAAAAGTTGTTCTCTGACCTCCATGCAGGTGCTGTGGCACAGATGAATGTGCATGCACGTACACATAAGAAATAGAATATAATTAGAAGAGTTTAAATTACCATGGTTGGGCTTCTCATAGTAGTTTTAGGAGGTCTGACATCTATGATCCTGCATGACTACATGGCAACAGTTATTTAGACCTGGAAGTGTCAGCTGTCCACAAGGCTCCCACCCATGGAGTTGCCACAGTCTCTACTTACACTGTCCAGGAACTTGAATCTCTACTCCCAGCACTTGGCAAAGATACCTTGAATCTCCTTCAGCCCTCAAAGGGCTTACACTCTGCCTTGGTTATATAATGACTGTCTGTCTGTGAGAGCTTCTTCCTATACAGTCCACTCTAGCCTAGAATTCTCTGTGTAGCCCAGACTGGCCTCAAACTTACAACCCTTGCCTCCACTTTCCAAGCACTGGGGTTCTGGACCACCATACCAGTTTCAGTTACAAACTCATTGCAAGTTATAGTACCATGGTGACCTTAGCAAGGCCATTTGCTATACCACAGTATCCTATTCCATAAAGGTTACTAACCCACTTTGTGTGCAGTCATGATTAGCTAACAACATGATACTTGTAAGGTCCTAGCTTCATGATTTGCTATCTAAAAGAATTAATTGGTTTAGGCATCATGCTCTGTTTGCCCAGAGATGACTTAGGGCCCCTTATGTGGGAGGGGAAATTGAATTTATATAGATATCAGGAGTGGTTTTCAGAATCTAAGGACAAAAAATAGCCCAAGATGCTGAGAGAGTGGAAACTGGATCCAAGAGGCCCCGTCAGTTACAACTAGAAAGTTAATGCTATGCATAGTGACCTGGACTCTGTGGGAGGAAGAATGGAGACAGTGTCCATCAAAGAGGGTTCATGGACCAGGCAGGCAGCCTGCATGTGTGGGCTAGAGAACATTTCCAAGTGATCGTGTTCCCTTTAGAGACTTGATGATTGGTCCTTATGATTTTACCCTTGTTTTTACTCCCCTTCCCAAGTGTGTCATCCAGAATACCAGTTGACGTTGGGAAAATGTTTTCTAGGAACACAACAGTGGGACACAGCTACCATGGAAGGTCTCTTGCCTCGGTATGAGCATGCCAGCTTCGTTCCCTCCTGCACTCCTCACAACATCTGGGTGTTTGGGGGTGCGGACCAGTCAGGAAACCGAAATTGTCTACAAGTCTTAGATCCTGGTGAGTAGACAGAGGTTATTTTCTTTTTATTATACACATATGGCTGCAATTATTTTACAGTACATTTGAATTGCCCTAATCAACCTATTTTACTTTGCTGATCTCATAGAAAATAGGGATTTATAGATTTTTTTTTAACATTTTCAAATGTGTGTGTTTGTGTGTGTAAAAGAGATCAGTAGTGCCATGTGGAAACCAGTTACCTCCTTTCACCAGGTGGGGCCTAGGGACCAAGCATACCCTGCTAGCCCAGACTCAGGACATGCTCTCAAGTGATAGAATTATAGGAATGTGCCATGGAAGGTGCCTGACAGGACGGCATTTTCTTTTGGGTCAAATATTGAAATTCCTTTGTAGTGTTTGAAAAGTGTCTTCTTAGATGTCCGTTTGGTTGGTTTCTTGAGTCAGAATTTCTCTGTGTAGCTTTGGAGACTTTCCTGGAACTCTGTAGATCAGGCTGGCCTCAAACTCACAGAGATCTGCCTGCCTCTGCCTTCCAAGTACTGGAATTAAGGGCATACACCACCACTACCTGGCCTTAAATACCTTTTGTAATTATGTATGTATGTATGTATGTATGTATGTATGTATGTATGTATGTATGTATAGTCTTGTTTTTTAAAACAGGGTTTCTCTGTGTAGCCCTGGCTGCCCTGGAACTCACTCTGTAGACCAGATTGGCCTTGAACTTAGAGATCCGCCTGCCTTTGCCTCCTAAGTGCTGGGATTAAAGACATGTACCACCACCACCTAGCTAAAATACTTTATTTTTTAGTTTTATGTGTATGAGTGTTTTGGCTGCATGTATGTCTGTGCACCATATACATTCAGTACCCAAGGAGGCCAGAAGAAGGTATCAGCTCCCCAGAACTGGAGTTACTCAAAATTGTGAGCTACCATGTAGGTGCTGGAATCAAACCTTAGGAAGAGCTCAGTGTTCCTAACTGCTGAGTCATCTCTCCAGCCTCCTTTCCTTCTCTCCTTCCCTCCCTCATTCCTTCCATCCCTCCTTCTTTCCTCCCCTCCCTCCCCCTCCTTCCTTCCATTCTTTTCTTCCCTCCCTCCTTCCTTTCTCCCTCCCATCCTTCCCTCCCTCTTTTCTTTTCTCTCTCTCTCTCTCTCTCTCTCTCTCTCTCTCTTTCCTTCCTTCCTTCCTATTTTTGGAGACAGGGTCTTGCTCTGTAGCACTGACTTCCCTGGAACCCTTTATGTAGACCAAGCTGGGCTCAAGTTTAGAGATCCACCTGCCTCTGCCTCCCAAAAGTTGCAGGATTGAATGCATAACCCACCACCATGACTGAAATGTCAATGCTTTGAGGATAAGGATTTGTTCATTGTTCCTAGGGTCCAGAACACAATTGGATATAAAGTAGACATTCCACCAGCCTCCTGGTCTATGCTGAAGCTGTTTTTTCTGGAACACCGTCACAGAATATGGTGGTTAAGTTGGGTCTGGTGGTACAGGCCTGATATCCCAACTACTTGGGAGGCTGAGGTAGAAGGACCACAAGTTCAAGGCCATTCTGGGCTAGAGTCTGATGGCTGACAGTTCAGATCAGGCCAGAGTGTAGGCAGTGGTGGAGTGCATATATGAAGCTCTTGGATGGTTCCCAATATTCAGGTCAAAGTCTGTACTTTGCTGTACACTATCCATAATGCTATTATTCACCATGACCTTGAGCAAAACCTCTGTCTCAGTTTTCTTTCCTGTCATGTTGGGATATTAATAGTTTCTCCCTTGTGAACTTGTTCAAGATTTAAATTAGTAGCTAATATTTACTCTCTGTTAGTTGCTGTATTGATCTAGAAAGAATTAAAAAGCAGAAATCAGTTCTGGAAGTCTTCCTTTAAAAAGATAGTGTGTGTGTGTGTGTGTGTGTGTGTGTTCGTGTTCTACAGCTCAGGATTGCTGCCTTAGCTTGGGACCCTGTCTTTTTGACTCTGGGTGATGGCATTTATTTAAAAACAACAAAAAAACCCACAGTGGTACACACCTATAATCCCAGCATTCTGAAGGCAGGAGTAAGCAGATCTTATGAGTTTGAGATCAACCAGGCCTACATGGCAATTCCGGGCCAGCCAGGGCTATATAGTCAAACCCTCTCAAGATTCAAAACAACAACAAAAACAAAACAGTGGAACTCTGAGAACATTCTGTCAGAGAAATTGATTCTTGTGTATGTGGAATATTCCTTTACACTCTGTGAATATATGCCATTGTTGGTTTAATAAAGAAGCTGACTGGCCTGTAGCTAAGCAGGACAAGGTTAGCAGGAAGAACCAGACTAAGAAAATGCTGGGAAGAAAAAGAAGGAATCGTCTCAGGGATCCCCAGCCAGACTCAGAAAAAGCAACATGGAAAGTACGTAGATGAGGTAAACAAGACTCAGGGCAGCACATAGATTAATAGAAATGGGTTTCTTTAACGTATAAAAGCTTGTTAAAAACGAGTCTATTCTGTTGGACAAGCATTTATGATTATTAATAAGTCTGTGTGTGGTTATTTGGGAACTGGCTGGCATGGCAGGACAGAAAAGTCTGCTTATATTTTTTTATTTGTTTTGTTTTTGCTGATAGAGTCTTGCTGGAGAGTACAGGCTCTCAGACTTCATGCCTCATTCTTCCAAGTGTGGCATTTGCAAGCTTGAGCCACCATACCCAGGTTTCAGTATTCCTGTGATTTGAGTCCTGCCCCCCCCCCCCAGAGCTGCAGCTCTAGAGAGGGATCATTTTGCTCTAATGTAGGCTGAGGCCCATTCCATCTGCACATTCTTGTTTGGCTACTACATGTATAGTGTATGCCTCATGTAGTATTCTGTATATTGACTGCAGATCTTTTGCAAAAGGCAGAGAATTTTTCTAACAAGAAATAATGCTCAGTTGTAGTGCACTAGTGTAGGAGTCTGACAGATCAGGCTTCAGACCTCTGCTCCACTCTCCAGAGACTTCACAGCGTCTGACATCTCTCGGGTGAGTGAGCACCATGGGAGGAACCAAGAGCTCAGTGTAATGAGTCTTTGTTTGTGTTACCAGCCAGCTCCCAAATAATGACACGGAAACTTCTTATTAATTATAAAAGCTCGGCTTGCAGCTTAGACTTGTTCCTAACTAACACTTATAACTTAGATTAACCCATTTACAGTAATCTACGTCCTATCATGTGTTGGTGTTACCTCTCTTTCATCTTGCACCTCCTGTTTCCTCGCCGTGTCTCCCGGTGTCTCCTCACACCTTGATCATCTCCTGCTTCCTTTCTCTCTGCCCAGAAGTCCTGCCTATATCTCTCGCCAGTTCTTGGCTGTTCAGGTCTTTATTAAACCAATCGCCATAATATATCTTCACACAGTGTACAAATATCCCACAATGGCTTGGGGCCACTGTCCTGCATAAGAAGGTGCTGAATTAGTGCATCTGTTCCCATATCATTCACATTTTATTTTGAAAGGAGAGAAACTCTGTATATGCCCCCCAACCCCCGCCCCGTGGTGACATTTTTTTTTTTTTAAACAGAATAGTAGAAAAGGTACAGACCATGGTATTATTTAAACTGTTTACACTGGGGCTGGAGAGATGACTCGGTGGTTAAAAGCACTGGCTGCTCTTCTGGAGGTCCTGAGTTCATTTCCCAGCAGCCACATGGTGACTCACAACCATCTATAGTGGTATCTGATGCCTTCTTCTGGCATAAAGGCATACATGCACATTGAACATTCATATGTAAAATAAATAAATAATTCCTTAAAAAAAATGAAGGAAAACTGTTCAAACCACAGCTGGAGAGGTAACTCAGTGGTTAAGAGCATTGGCTGTTCTGACAGGGAACCCAGGTTTGATTTCACAGTCTGTAACTCCAGTCCAAGGGATCTGATGCCCTCTTCTGGCCTCCTTGAGCACCAGGCATGGTGAACATTTATAGATTCAGGCAAAACAGTCATACACATGAAAATAAAATAAATATTTAAAAAAACGTATCTAAAGCACAATAGCCATTTGCTAGCTATATCACCTTAAGCAAGTAACGGTGTAGCTTGGCTTCAGTTCCCATTTGAGAATGGAAAAACTGACATTTATCATTTATTGTTTAGTAGGGTTATTCATGTTATGTATGCCTGCAGGCCAGAAGATGGCATCAGATCCATTATAGATGATTGTGAGCCACCTTGTGGTTGCTGGGAATTGAACTTAGGACCTCTGGAAGAACAGCCTGTACCCTTAACTGCTAAGCCATCTCTCTAGTCTGTCTACTTTTTTTAATGGGCCACATTTTCTGGGAAACTTGGCACATTTGAGCTCAGATGTTTAGTGGGAATGTATTTTAGTAGACACTGGGCTCCTAAAGGCAGGGCAGAGCTGTCAGCAGGCATGATACTGACCTCACTCCTCATTGAACTTATGGTCTCTCAGCTCTGGGGAATTCTGTCTGTCTCACAACCTCTGACATCACTGTATTCTTCCTTGGCATTGGAGATTATGAGCTCTCTGCCTAAAGTTGTGCCATGCTGTGCCCTGCTGTGCTCCTTAGAGACTAGAGTACAAAGGTGACCCTGCAAAGCCCTACCAAGAGTCACAGTCAGGGTCTGTAGATGTGTATCATGGTAAAATGCAAGCCCAGCAGGCCCTGGTACAGATCCCTAGCACCTCATACAACTAAGCGTAAAGCCAGAAGCCTCTTAGCCTAGGTCTTGCTTATTTTCTATCTGGACTAGTAACCAAGACTTGGACCACACCAGAAGTGAGCAGCCTTCCACCATCCCCAAGAACATTCCACACATCCTCAGCAGCTATTGGAAACCAGCTATATGTCTTTGGAGGAGGAGAGAGAGGTGCCCAGCCTGTGCAGGATGTGAAGTTGCATGTATTTGACGCAAGTATGGACTGGGGATGTTGGGGTCTTGAGGTTGCTTACCTGGCCAGGCCCACCTCAACCTTTGTTACCTCACATACAGGAAACAGGCTCTTGATAAAGGGTTTGAGGGCTGGAGAGATGGCTCAGAGGTTAAGAGCACTCACTGCTTGCTCCTCTAGAGATCCTGAGTTCAATTCCCAGCACCCACATGGTGGCTGACAACCATCTATGATGAGATCTGGTGTCCTCTTCTGGCGTTCAGACATACATGCAAGCAGAACACTTGTGTAGAGTATTTGCCTAGCTGTACCAAACCCCACCCGCATTTTGTTCCTAGCACCACACAAAACAAGCACATTAACAGCTACGTGTCTGTAACCACAGCAGGTGAGAGATCAGGCATACCTGAGGATACATGAAATCTGTTTCAAAAAATAAATCAAGCTGTGTGGATTGGTCCACATCCTTAATCCCAGCACTATGAGGCAGAAGTAGGCAGGTCTCTTGTGAATTCAAGGTTAGCCTGGTCTATGTGGTCCCAGGCCAGTCTCAGCTATATAGTGAGATCCTATCTCAAAAAAAAAAAAAAAAAAAAAAAACAATGACAAAAAATGGTTACTCTGGCCAGGATGTAACTCAGTGATAAAACATATACTCAGTATGTGCAAATACCCTACACTTGATTTCTTGCACCTCTCAAAAACAGATAACAACGAAAGAGAGAGAAAAAAAGAATAAAAACCAATAACTCTGGTGGATTTTCACAGAAGAAGTACACACCTGTATTTTAACCTAGGGACACTTCTGGGTTAATGTTTAAGGGATATATTTTTTTTTCAATGCAAAGCAAGAAATGGCTGCCTACTACTCAGACTGTAGGGCCAGCATGCTGGATTATTGGCTTTGCAGTCTCCAGCCCTGGATGTGTTCAAGCAGAGGTTAGGTAGTAGGATTGAGATCTACTTGGCTTATTAGTCAGAGAGAGGATTCCAAGTTCACTTCCTTCTTGGAGCATCTTTGTTCTGGGAGGTGCTGAAGAGGCATGCTATTTAGTGTTAACGCATTTACTTTTGTAGACACTTTGATGTGGTCTCAGCCAGAGACACATGGAAATCCTCCGTCTGCTCGGCATGGCCATGTGATGGTGGCAGCTGGGACGAAACTCTTCATCCATGGAGGCTTGTCAGGGGACAGGTTCTTTGATGATCTCCATTGCATTGATATAAGTAAGTATGCTAGAGGGCCGGGGAGCTTATGAATTCAAAATTCTTTAAAATGTTCTTGGAAGAATTCATCTTTGCTTTTATGTGTTGGTAACTTGTGTGGCTGTTAGAGTCTTTCCTAGGTTCCACAAAGTATGGCCTGAATAATCAGGAATATAAGCCTGGAGAGATAGCTCAGCCATGAAGCATATTGGCTATACTTTCCAGAGGACCTGGATAGGGTTCCCAATACCCACCCAGTGGTAACAGCAGCTCCAGAGTCTGTTGCCCTTTCTGTCCTCCACAGGTGCTGTGTTCAGGTGGTGTACAGACCTACCAGCAGTCAAAACACTGTACACACTAAATAAGTGTGAATTAGACAGGTAGATGGATAGGCAGACAGACAGACCTGAAGAAGAGGAGGAGGAAGACTAGCGAGATGGCTCAGCAGTTAAAAATATTTGCTGTTCTTGCAGAGTACCCAAGTTCTTTTCCCAGCACCCACTGGCAGCTCTAAACAGCCCCAGGGGATCCACAGCTTCTGGTCTAGCTGACCCCAGCATATACCCACACATAGATACGCATACATATGTACACAGTTAAAAATAAGAAATTTCTAGCCAGGCAGTGGTGGCATGTGCCTTTAATTCCAGCACTTGAGGCAGAGGCAGGCAGATCTCTGTGAGTCCAAGGCCAAGATGTGAAGATGAAGGTTTCTGTCCCACAGCCGCTTTACCCCAAATAAATACACAAAGACTTAATAGTAATTTATAAACTGTTGGCCGATGGCTAGGGTTACTTATTGGCTAGGTCTCTCTTAATTATTAACCCATAACTACTAATCTATGTATTTCTACGTGGCCTTATCTTACCAGAGAACACCTGGCGTGTCCTATCTTCCTGGTCTCTACATGGCACCCTTTTTCCAGCCTCTCTCCACCTCCTCTCCCCAGCCTTCTCCTGGTCTGGCAGCCTCACCTATGCTTCCTGCCTGGCTACTGACCAATCAGTGGTTTATTCATCAACCAATAAGAGAAACATACACACAGAAAGACATCCCCATCAAACCTGGTCTACAGAGCAAGTTCCAGGACAGCCAGGGCTACACACAGAAGCCCTGTCTTGAAAAACCAGAAAACAACAACAACAAAATAAAATATTTTATGTGTGTGGTTGTTTTCCTACATGTATGTCTATGTACCACATGTATGTAGTACCAAAGAGGTCTTAAGAGGCCATTGGATTCCCTAGAACTGGAGTTACAAATGTTTGTGGGTATTGTGAATTAAACCTAGAACTTCTAGATGAGCTGAGCTATCTCTCTAGCCCCTAAGTACATCTTTTTATAAATTTTTCTTGTTTGCTTTTTTTTTTTTTTTTTTTTTTTTTCTGAGACAGGGTCATACTGGGTGTATGTATCCTTGACTGGCTTAGAGCTCCCTATAGATCAAGCTGGCCTTGAACTCCTAGAGATCTGAGCCTCAGTCTCCCAAGAGCTGGGATTAAAGGCATACAACCCCGTACCCAACTATATCTAAAAACATGCAATCATTCCCAAACACTTACTGTTTGTGAAGCACTGTTGACCTCTTTCCAGCACCCTGTGTGCTCCATCACACTTTCCTGTAGTTTAGAGCTCTTTAATATTTGACTCTTGCTCCATTTCTGGTTCAGATAATGGAGGTGGATGACCAGAACTGCATGTTTGCTGGGCTGCATGGTCAAAAGTCCTGGAAAAAGGAAAGCTAGAGAGAACCTGAAGATTGCCTCCTCCTCTGAAGGCTAGACTCTCTCCTGAGTCTCTGGCTGTGAGCTCTGTGGGATGGGGACTTCCTCTTTACTTTGTGTGTTGCAAGCACTTAGTACAGTCAGCAGGATAGTGGGTATGCACTTGTCTGCTCTTGAGTGAATGGAAGAATAAATGAACAAGGTCTGCCTTGTTCTAGGCTACAGAACAAAGAGAGGATGGACAGAAGCACAAAAACTCCCATGCAAAGGAGTTGAATCCTTACAAAGCAGGCTCACTAGCTGGAATTCCTCCATTTGCCACACTTGGGATTCTCTCTCTGTCTCTGAAACAGAGTCTAGCTATGCAGCCCACCTCTTTGGTCTGCTGAGTTCAGGGACTAGAGACATTTGCTCCCATGCAGTTTCAAATAGCACAGGATTTGTTCTTGTTGCTGTTTTTGAGACAAGGTTGTCCTGTAACTCACTTTGTACGCCAAGCTGGCCTCAAACTCACAGAGATTGGCCCTGCCTCTGAGTGCTGAGGTTAAAAGTGTGCACCGTTGTGCTTGGTCTGATGATTTTCTTTGTCCTTCTCTTCTTCTTCCTTTTTTTTTTTTTTTTTTTTTTTTTTTTTTTTTTAGATTTACTTATTTATTGAGTATACAGAGTTCTGTCTGCATGTATTCCTGCAGGCCAGAAGAGGGCACCAGATCTCAGAACAGATGGTTGTGAGCCACCATGTGGTTGCTGGGAATTGAACTTAGGACCTCTGGAAGACCAGCCAGTGTTCTAAATCCCTGATTCATCTCTCCAGCCCTTGACCTGATAATTTTCTAAGACTTCCCATTTCCTGTGCTGGGGAAGTGCTTCCTAGCTGTCGTTTTCTTACCTCCCAAATAGTCGTCAAATGTAAAACCCAGTGGTATGTATGTATATTATTTGAGTGCTCGTTGGATTATATGCAGACATGAGTGCTGAGTCAGCAAGATGCAGCATAGAAGACACAGCCTTGCAGCCTCAGTATGACTGACTATGCCACTTACAAGCTACTATTGTCGGTCTCCGTCCTTCTCTCAGTCTGTGCGCTCATCTATAAGAAGAAAAGATGTAGATAGAAGTGATAGCAACTCAGGGCTGAACAAGAGTTTGCAAATTGTAGCCAGCATTTGCAAAGTTGTTGGGTGCCTGAGAGAAAGCTTGGCATCTTCCAGAGGTCCTGAGTTTGATTCCTAGCACCCACACAGCAGCTCGGAGCCAGTGTAATTTCAGTCCAAGGCATGCAACACTCCTCTGGCCTCCATGTGTACCATGGGGTACCATTCACTCATGTGCACAGACATTCAGGCAAAACATACATAAACATAAAATAAAAATCAATCTTTAAAAATGTATTCAAAACATGCATGTATATATGGGCATGTATGCCTGCATATGTGTGTACACAAACACACAACCTTGCCTATCTGGACAGTGAACAGTTAAAGATTTCATCACTATTAAAGGTTTCAAGTTTCTCAGCATACTCCAAAGAGCAGAATCTCATGAGGTGCTTTTTAAAACTGTAGATTCCTTGTTCCAAATCAGGAAATAATTCAAGCTGCCCACCCTTAAAAACAGTTCTACACACTTAACCATTCTCTGTTACTTCTTAGAGAACCTTGTGACCCAGGCATGGTGTTGAATGCCTTTTAATCTCAGTGTTCAGGAGGTAGAGAGAGGCAGGAGAGTTCAAGGCCAGCCTGGTTTACATAGGGCATTCTAGACCAGGGCTACATAGTGAGACCCTGTCTCAAAAAAACAAAGCAAACAAACAAACCAGCACCTCCCTGTGGGTGACCCTAAGTAGTCATTTTGCATACTGCAGTGGATAATTTTGAAATTATATTTTTTTAGCTCATGTAAAACTCTCTCTCTCTTGTGACAGGTAACATGAAATGGCAAAAGCTTAGTCCCACAGGGGCTGTTCCAGCAGGCTGTGCTGCCCACGCTGCCGTGGCTGTGGGAAAACATGTGTATGTGTTTGGAGGAATGACTCCCACTGGAGCACTGAACACGATGTACAAGTATCACACAGGTGAGCAGGTTGTCACTCCTGCTCTTTAAACAAATACAGTGTTTGAAAAAATGACAGAATCTTGTCAAGCTGTGGTGGTGCATGCCTTTAATCCCAGCACTTGGGAAGCAGGAGGATCTCTGTGAGTTTGAGGCCAGCCTGGTCTACAGAGAGAGTTCCAGGACAGCCAGGACTACACAGAGAAACCTTATCTCAAAAAAACAAACAAAAACCTTTAAGAAACAAACCACAGAAAAACATGATCTCTCTGTGTAGCCCAGCTAGTCTAAAAATGGCAGCAATCCTGCCTGTGCTTCCTGAGCACTGGAATTAGAGATATACACTGCACAACCCAGCCTGTTTTTCCCTTTATTTCCTCCTTATAGAGTAACTAATGCAGAAATCATTGACTGTTTCTGGAAACATCTGTCTTTGTCCCCCCTACTTAGAAAAGCAGCATTGGACCTCACTTCAGTTTGATACTTTCCTACCCCCTGGACGACTGGACCACTCCATGTGTGTCATCCCATGGCCAGTGATGTCCACCTCTGAGAATGAAGACTCAGATTCTGTCATTCTAAACTGTGAAGCCGAAAAAGGGGATGATGTTGACAAACAAGTATCTCAGAGTGGTGGGTCACCTGAGGAAAGCCAGACTACCACGTTGCTCTGTTTTGTGTTCGGTGGGATGAATACCGAAGGGGAGATTTATGATGATTGCATTGTGACTGTAGTTGACTAATAAAACCCACATTTTTATTATTTGTTATTTTTTACAAAAGTGAGGCCTCTGTGAGTCACACTGCCAAAGTCTTGGCACAGTATGTTTCCTTAACCAAGAGTGCTGTGCAAAGAGTAATATATCTGTCTTGTGTGGTGCATACCTCTAATCAGGAGGCAGAGATAGGTAGATCTCTGAGTTCGAGGACAGGCTGGTCTACAAATTGAGTTCCTGGACAAACCAGAGCTGTTACATAGAGAAACTATGTCTTGAAAAACAAATACATATATCTATTTTTTTGCCTTAAAAACACCAATAGGCAAATGTTTAGGCAGATCTGGAGTGCGACCCAATCAAATGTGAAAATTGACCTTGTTCATGCTGGGTCAAGGGATAAATATATATAATCTTTCACTTAACCAACTTTGGTAACTGGATAGCTGAGTGCAAACAATTCCAGTATAAAGTTTTACCAGCAATAAAGTATGTAGATAACAAAACTAGGTATTGGAGTAGACATTTATCAATTGGAATCTCTTTTTAGTATGTATTAGCTAGTCCTCAAAGAAAAAGTAGACAAGGGGTCTGGAGAGATACTTTGGCAGTTAGCACTGTTCTTACAGAGAACCCAGGTTCAGTTCCCAGGACCACCTTATAGCTGACAACTCTCACTAATCCAGTTCCAGGGGATCCTATGCCTGACACTCTGCAGGCAAAACATACAAATGATCTGAATTTGAAGAAAAAAAAAAAAAAAAAAAGTACTGATGAAAGCTGGGTGTGAGATCCTTTTTGGTTCATAAGCATAATTGGGTGTTCATGCCATTGCATGATGTGTGCCTCCCTTAAACCTTGTTTAGACTTGGACACATTACCCATCTAAAACAAGAAAGAAAAAAAAAAATTGGAGAATGGTGCTGTGTGCCTTTAATCCCAGTCTGGTCTACACAGTGGGACCCTGATTTATTTTTTTAAAAAAGGAGTGCCAGCAATGGAGGACAAGGATGAAGACACCTTGTCATTCCTGTTCACCCCTTGGCCCAGCATGAAGCTAATAAAGGTCAACTTTTTTATTTAAGTTTTTTATTCATTTTACATACCACAATTCCTCTTCCCCCCACCACGTCCCATATCCATTCCTCCCAAAGGGTAAGGCTCCAATGGGGAGTCAACGAAGCCTGGCAGGACCAAGCCCCTCTCTCAGCATCGAGGTTGATCAAGGCATCCCACCATAGGAAATGGACTCCAAAAAGCCAGCTCATGTACCAGGAATAGATCCTTGTCCCACTGCTAGGAGTCCCACAAACAGACCAGGCTACACAAGCCCACATGCAGAGAGCCTATGTAGGTAATAAGGTCAACTTTATTTAATATTTGACTGGGCTTTGGCCTGAAGACTTAGTTACATTCCAGACCTGCCTAAACACTTGTCTGTTGGTGTTTTTGAGGCAAAAAAAAAAAAAAAAAAAAATCTAACAGCCTAGGCTAGCCTCAAAATTATTATCTCTCTGCCTCAGCATCCCAGAGTGCTGTCGTGCCCCTGCCCATCTCATTAGGGTGAGATGGACAGTACTGGAGCAGATGGAGTAGGGCTGCACATTTGCCGAAATACTCTTGCCTCAGCCAGCTCCCTGAGTGTAGGAATTACTGGTATGAGCCGCCATGCTAGGTTCAAAATAAACATAATGCATAAATATGAAGCTCAAGAGTAACATGTAATAAATTAATCTTACAGCTGGTTGTTCAGTTACAAAACACCTATCTTTGGACAGTACTGAATTTCATGTCAGCACTGGACAAAATCCTCATTGGCCATATTTTACCTAGCTCATCCCTTTCCTGAAGAAGCCAATCTTAACTAGTCCTTTGACTAACAAGTTTGTAATTTCAGGGTTACCATATATAACTCAATACCAGTAAAACCTTTTGGAACTGGGGTTTCTGACCAAATTAGCCTTTGGTCATTTTTGGTTCATAAGCCCTAATAAACTACATATATAATTGTAGCTGGTATTTCATTAATCCTGCCTCCATCCTGAGCCACTATACCCAGTATGCAGTGCTGGGTATCATATAGGACTTGAGGCTGCTATCTTTTTCTGTGACAGGGTCTCTACATAGCTGTGGTTGGCCTGGAGCTCATTATGTAGATCCTCCTGAGTGCTTCCTTCAGAGGTGTGTACCACTGAACTTTCAAACTATACATCTTAAAATATAAATTACAAACTAAGTCCCACCCAGTGATAGTGTTTGGCACATTCAAGGCCCTGGGTCTGATCTTACACCACAAAGAAAAATAAAATGTGGAAGCCACCAGATCACTCAATTTTTTCTTTTTCTCCAGCAGACGATTAAACCCAAGACTTCAACTTGCTAAGCAGTGCCCTACCACTAAGTACATAGCCATTTTTGCATCTTTTCTAACAGCCTCAGTTCCCAAGGTGGGACTTGGATTTGTCATTCTCCTACCACAACTAGAATTACAAGCCTGGCACATCATCAATTCACAAGACAATCTGCAGCCCCACAGCATTACTTGTTAGTGGAAATCAGAAGGGGCAGTGGTGGTGCACTTTTAATCCCAGCACCAGGGAGTAGAAACACATGGATCTAAATTCAAGGCCAGTCTGGTCTAAAGTGAGTTCTAAGACAGCCAGGCCTACACAGAGACCTTGTCTTGAAATACTAAAACCAGCCTGGTGTTGGTGGCACATGCCTTTGATCCCAGCACTCAGGAGGCAGAGGTAGATGGATCTCAGTGAGTTCGAGGCCAGCCTGGTCTACAGAGCAAGTTCCAGGACAACAGCCTCCAAAGCCACAGAGAAAACCCTGTCTTGAAAAACCAAAAACTAAAACCAAAGAAACAACAAGCAAAAAACCCCAGGAAGCAATTTTACAATGGGAAGTAAGATTTCAATCATGGTCAAGAGAACTGGACTTGGACACTATGAAATGAGTCTTGCCTAGGGAAGAAGCAGCAAGCATCCTTTTCCTTGCTGTAAAGCTAGACAAACTCCCAGGAAGTCAAACAACCCAGCAACATCAGAAGCTCTCCTCCTCCCCTAAACAACATACAGACACACCTGAGAATCCAGCCTTAAATTTTAGTTATCTAAAATAAAAGATATTACAAGCTTTTCACAAAAATTAGACCAGTGTAAATAACAAACATTTATTGGTGTCACTTATGGTAGAAAAAAAGTTCCTACACCAGATGTGCATGACCCAATCGTTAAATAGAACATTTCCAAGGTGAACACACACCCTGACCCAGCTTTTCCCCAATTTTTAAAATAGCCAATTCCTCCTTTCCCCGACCCCAAGACATGAGAGCAACTGCTAATGAAAAGCAGTAAACAGCCACTTGGGCTATAGCATTTTCAACTCCACTCTGAGGTGAAGATTCCAATTACATTCGAGACTTAAGTTCTCAATTTTCTCCTAACCAAAGTTCCTGAGTCCAATATTTACAATATTACAGCCCTAGCAGATCAGTGCACCTACAACTCATCTTTTTCTGATGTATCCTCTTCACCAGTTGGGGGAGGGCCTGCACTTCCATAGAGTTTGCTAATAATAGGCTGAACAATTTCTTCTAGTTCCTTCTTTTTAGCTTTAAAGTCTTCAATGTCTGCATCCTGGTGGCTTTCAAGCCATTCAATCTTTTCCTCTACAGCCTTTTCCATGGTTTCTTTATCTTCAGAGGAAAGTTTACCGCCCAGCTTTTCTTTATCTCCAATCTGGTTCTTGAGAGAGTAAGCATAGCTTTCCAATTCGTTCCTGGTGTCAATACGCTCTTTGAGCTTTTTGTCTTCCTCAGCAAACTTCTCCGCATCATTAACCATCCTTTCAATTTCTTCAGGTGTCAGGCGATTTTGATCATTGGTAATTGTGATTTTGTTTTTGTTCCCTGTACCTTTGTCTTCAGCTGTCACTCGAAGGATACCATTAACATCTATCTCAAAGGTGACTTCAATCTGGGGTACCCCACGAGGAGCAGGAGGAATTCCAGTCAGATCAAATGTACCCAGAAGATGGTTGTCTTTTGTTAGGGGTCGTTCACCTAGAGCAATAAGAGAAAAAACTTGTTGACAAGCATCAGTGTACAGGTATTCTTACACTTCAGCCTGTTAGAATGTGGGGAATGGGTGGCAAGGACCCTTTATTGGGGTAAAAGTCACTCAGTATTGGTCCAAGAGCAGCAACTCACTGTGTGTTACTACTCTTAACCATATTTCATTTCTTCAAAAAACACTATAAAAGACCCTTAATTTGTATTTCAAAAGCCAGTGGACAAGAATGCTGTACTGAAACTAAGCAGCCTCTTCATTTGAATTACAGAAGATACTTCTTTCTCTTGGCATTTTAATAATGTATTATTAGATCCAAAGTCACACTCTGAATTTCAAACCACAGAATATTTGTGAATATAAATAATTACCTTCATAGACCTTGATTGTTACAGTTGGCTGATTATCAGATGCTGTGGAAAAGATCTGAGACTTCTTGGTGGGTACCACAGTGTTCCTTGGAATCAGTTTGGTCATGACACCTCCCACAGTTTCAATACCAAGTGTAAGGGGACATACATCAAGCAGTACCAGATCACCTGCAGAAGAAAATTAATCCAATTAGAGTCCTAATAGTACTACACCAAGCAATGTCCCACTGTCACTTACCCAGGTTCTAACCATAAATACTACAGGGCTAATGAATTAACAGCTGCTAGTGATTTTAAATAAGCCTGACCCAAGTCTTGCCATCATCACTTTACCTTCATTAGCTATGTGATCTGTTGCTCCTAACCTTTCTTTCTGAAGCCAACAGCTGACTATAGCCTTCCCATCAAGTTACTCCAACATGTGATTGATACAGTGACCCACCTGTATCTTGATCACCAGAGAGGACACCAGCTTGGACAGCAGCACCATATGCTACAGCCTCATCTGGGTTTATGCCACGGGATGGCTCCTTGCCATTGAAAAACTCTTTCACCAGCTGCTGAATCTTGGGAATCCGAGTAGAGCCACCAACAAGAACAATTTCATCAATGTCTGATT